AACCCGGGCCGATGCGATGGGAAACCAGCAACTAACCGCTTGAGCTATGGCGCGGCCTAAAATTCAAACTTAGTCTTTGAAGATGAATAGTATAAAAACCGCGAAAAAAGAATGCAAGGCATAAAAAAACGTAAGAAATGTCTGACTCTAGATTTAATTCCTCCCTTTGATCTCTGCTCTGCAAGCTCACGGTATTTTTCATAACCAATTTGTGTGTTAAGAGCTTTTAATCTGCCTCCCACGTGAGCGTCGAAGTTTCTGTTTTATACAAATCCAGTGCTCGCTTTATACCAGATACATAGACAGAAAGCCATCACTCGGCGACTCTCAGGTGCGGCTGTAACATGTAAATTGCTTGTGTACGGCTTCGAAATAATATATGAAGCTGTGTATGACTGTTAAGTTAATTCAATTTGGCTGCTGTTAAAATATTCCGTTCTTTCATTTTCAAGCTCGTAATTTAATACATATAACTTTTCGTTATTAAGAGGTACATAGAAATATGGCGAACTTAATGACACTCTGTCTACATAATGTGTCACATATATGAACTGCATTTCACACCCCAATTTTATCCTCTACAAGGTACAGTTCTCCCTGTCATTAACTAATTAAACACTACGCCATGAAGGCGCATTGGGGAGCGGATGTATAAATCCATATTTTCTTGACTTCGGCACTAGTTGGAGATAATTGCAGCTCCGGCCGCTTTACCCCGGGTACCCATTGGATAGGAGGCTCGGTGGGTCTCAGATTCGGTCTGGACGACGTAGAGAGAAGATTCTTGACACTACCAGGACTCGAACTCCGACCCCTCAGTCGTCTATCCCGTAACCAGTCGCTATACCGACTACGCTATCCCGGCTCCTCAATTTTGTCCTCTAACCCCAACGTATTTAATGCACTATTTTGAAGAGACATTAATAACGCAGATCAGTGTGTCTCAATCGGTAGATCGCGACCCTCTGTCCGTCAGTTCATAATGCTCATGAAATGCAAAACAAATACACAACAGAGAGAAAGGCAACTATGACTGTGGGAAAAGAACGGCAGGGCGGTCATGGAGTTCTGTTTACTCAGAAACAGTCGCCAGAAGAAAGCTTTGAAAAATATCGTAGTACATACCAAATACCTTAAACGTACAAAAATAACTTTACGACGGGCGGCTTACCGGCAAGGCCCGTGAGACTCACGACCAGTATTTTTTTTTTTCAAATGAACCCTTGCAGTTCTTATGTGATATCCTCTCTGACGAGAGGATGGGTTTGTCTCTTATGCATAGGCTTGGCCTTTGTCAAGTGTACATTTCGCACATGTTGTATGTTAAATGAAAGAATGTATAAGGGGTGGGCCTTCTCGGCCCTCGCACCGCCACCTACAGTGGTCTATTGTGGCATGGTACTGCTACGAGTAATTCTCCCCTTTACAATAGAATGTATATAAAAGTCTTCTGTAATTCCAGTCTTTGCAAAGCTGATCACGCCTACCTTGTTTATCATTCTTGCACCCAGCGTGACATTCGTTTCAGAAAATCTTAAAAACTTATTGATTAAATATAAACGTATTTTATTTACGTAGTGATATATTTCTTTTGATGCAATTGTTTATATGACTCAGTAAATTGGTTAACATACCGTAGCATCTCGTCAAATTGTTGCCTTAAGCCCTCGGTCTTATTGGTCTCCAAAGTCGTTTTGTTGTTGCTTCAGCAGAATCAAATAAACTTGCTCATATCATGTCTTATTTTCCTCGTCTGGATATAATAATGAGACAAAATGATAAATCTCGCCGTGTATTCGGAAGAAGTAGAGACCACTTCCCGGTGGCAATCTCAGCGCCAATTTATACGAACGCCATTGTTGAATTATACTATCGCAATCTGCTTCGCATGTATCACAATCTTCGAAACACAATTGGCGTTAAGCCGCCAACTGAAATCCGCGAGGAAGTACGGTTTGGTTTAAATATACACGATTCACCATATAAACCAATATACACTTCGACAACCTTCGTAATCGTAAAAAGTTCTTACAGAAGCTGACTACTGTAATGTAATCATTGGATATTTTTAAAACTATTCCCAATATTTGAAAACCTTTCTCCGCAGTATATATACATATCAAACAACGTTTCACTTCTATCAGGTTCACGGGATCGAGTTTGAAAAGGTTTTATGAGCGAATATGCACAAAAGTTATATATTCCCATTCTTTAGTATGTCCCTTCCGAGGAGGAAAAAAAAATTGGCGGAACGGCGTCCTTCTAATTTCCCGCGCCCATCTATTGATACCGACATGCTATTAGGGAACATGGGACAGCAGCCCAGAATGCCAATGGAAGAAACCAAAACTGGAGTTGGAGGATGCTCTGTTATGGTACTAAATCTTGAAAACAAACGAAAAATCGAACACCGGTCGATGAGCAGCACTCTTACTTCGAATTACGGTAGTTTCGAGTCCAAATTTCGGCCTGGTTGAGGGCTGTCCAGTTTTTTTTCACGATTTCTTCACTCCCTCAAGTTACAGGGACAGTGCCTCAAATTAGCCAATGGCCAGTTCTTTCTACAGCCGTTTAAAACCATTAATCCGACCACTCGATGCATTTAGACCAAAAACCAAGCAATAAGAACCGGACCCTTTAGGGTGCCATCAAAATAAGGGTTTCTTTCATGTATGACTACCTGCTACAAACACAGCTGGGGCAAAACATTACTACGTAAATCACGAGGGCATGACATACTTGGCAGGATGATAGTATAAGTGTCAATGTTTGTGATGGTGGACAGTTCATTATTCTCCTACTTCAATTTTCAAATAACCAGTTTTATGCAAACACTGTATAAGATATTATATTTAAGCATCCTGTTGCACTATACACTTCTGTATGTAATAATACAAATGCCATCGTGAATGCAACAATTTATTTGGTTGTAGTTATTTAAATTTTTTAAATTTAAATTGTAATTCTAAAATCAAGTTGACGAGCGTATGTTGGCGAGATTTTAAACAAAACTGACAGGCAGGTGTTTTAGATTTTGGATTGTTTGCAGTGTGACAGCTACGTAGTGAAAATTACACCTGATGATGGCCAGTTACGGCCGAAACATGTAGTGTTGAGGAAGAAAAGACAAAGAACTACAACCAAATAAATCTCTGAATTCATGACGGCAGTTGTATTATTACATATAGAACTGTACGATATAGCACACAGCATACAGAGAAGCAGCTAGGGCAGTCTGGTGCTCAGCTCTGGGTATGAAACATGAGGCTGTTCTGGTTACTTACCAACAGCTTTTAAACCAAGAAATAAATGACAAACAGCTCATAAAACATAGATACTTAGAGATGGATGCTTCTGCCTCATAGGTCAGAAATTAAATAAGCTGAAATTTATTTCTTTAATGTCACTGTTTTAAAACTGGTACCACAGCAAAACCCAAGCATTCATAAGAGCACTGGTGTACTGCACTGAGTGAATTACAGTCGGATCAAGTATGTCTCATGGAAGCCTGCAACTTGTACTCCACAAATTTTTGATTCAGGTTAATAATAAGATGGCATATAACAGAAATTTCCTTAGGCCCTTAAGTAATGTGGGCCCTACTTGCTTTGACTGTCACGTTTTTCAACTTGTTTGCTCAGGGTTCCTAGTATGGCCTTCCCTTCCCATTGTCCTTAACACTCCTTTCCACATTCAACTTCCTCTTTCATCCTGAAGATACACATAGTTTTGAGGGGGGACAGTTTTCATTTACACACGCACAGCACGTATATCATATTTTAAGGCATAATTCACACTTTTTTTTTTGCAAAATTTCATCATAATCCAAAGACTGGTATAAATGCATACAAGGAAAACTACATCAGAAAAAAGTCTACTTCATCCAACTGTACAGGCAAGCCATTTCCTCCAATAAATGGGAAGGGTGTTTGGAAGGTTAATTGGTAATAAATAATAACTTTCTCTTATAACTTATGTTTTTATTTAAAAAATACAGTATTTTGGAGGCTGGAGTATGTCTCTGTCGTCAGATAAAACCTACTCGGTTACACCCAACTGATTGAGCTAGTCACTGTCTCAGGACACATGAACCAACATAAGATAGGGTATACAAACAAAGCACAGCACAAACCATCTGCGAGAGTTAAGACATTAAAATGTTAAAAAAAAAACTCCATACATATGAGGCCTATCACCAGAGTACTATCAGAACAGAAGTAATCACTGATGAGATACAAGGGTCGTACTGAAAGTCATGAGCAACAATTCTTTGTAAAGTAACATGCTTTATTATTGACAAACGAAATACACCACCTCAATCAACAGACCTTTCTTTATTTTTCCACATAATCGCCACTTCTTTGTACACATTTCTCCCAGTGTTCTGGGAGTTTGAAAATTCCCCTTCTGTAAAATTCCATTCCAGCCATCTGAAGACACTGATTCACCACTTTCTGAATTGCCTCCCTTGTCTCAAAACATTGTCCACACAGCTCATACTTCACAAATCCGAAAAGATGGTAGTTGGAGGGTGCCAGATCTGGGCTATAGGAGGGGTGTGGAAGAACTTCCCACCCAATCTTTGCAATTGCTTCCAATGTGACCTTTGTGGTCTTCGGTCAATAATTGCGGGACCCAACAAGCACAAACTTTCCTATAGCCCAAGCTTTCAATCATCTCCTGTACTGCACTGTGCCCTATGCCAAGTTTTTGGGCTATTGTGTCTACAGTCACATGCCTGTCATCTTCAATGATCTCATCCACTCTTTCCTTGTTGCGTTCAGTTGAGGCTGTTTGAGGACGACTGCTCCAAGGCTCACCTTCGATTCTGGTGTTCCCATCTTTAAAATGTTTCACCCATCTTTGAACACTGCTCACACCCATGCACACACTTCCATAAGCACGCTGAATTCAGAAAGCAGTGCTTCAGTGTCTTCGGATGGCTGGAACGGAATTTTACAGAAGGGGAATTTTTAAACTCCAGAACGTTGGTAGAAATGTGTACAAAGAAGTGGCGATTATGTGGAAAAATAAAGAAAGGTCTGTAAATTGAGGTGGTGTATTATGTTTGTCAATTATAAAGCATGTTATTTTACAAATTGTTGCTCATGACTTTGAGTATGACCTATGTAAATTCTCTGTATGATACCAACATAAAAAACACTAATTTTCCCATTTATTCTTCATTGGATTGAGTTGTAGTTTTCTAACTTCTGCTGTGATAACAGGAATCCAGATGGGAAAGATGTTCAAGCTGGGTTCATAGATCAGATGGTCTACTGGAGACATGAGCATGCTCATTGCATTTCCTGTATGTGGTCTGGTTTAATATGCAACATATTTTGCAGCCTTCTTCGTACACATGTTGGGCTACTTTTAATTTTCAAAGAGACCCAGTATCAGGTTATATTTGTGCCCCTTAACGCATACTTCTGAAGGTCTGCTTCTTTTGCCGACATAACATCTGCCATGTTCACATGGGATGTTGTACACACACTTCTTTGTCTGTTCAACATCTAACTAGTCCAGTTTTCATCAATGTCCAACTGAGTGTATATTTAGTCCTGAAAATGGTCCTGACACTGAAACAGTTTCCAGTGTGTCTGATCTTTTCATGAGCATTACATTTCTTTACCATGGCCAGGGCTTGAGGTGGGGCGGGATGGCATCCTGGTTCTAGTTTAATTCCACCTCAAGCACTGACCATGGCACATCATTTTTCAGAGCCACACACGTGAAAAGTAGTACTGCAGATAATCTGACCTGTAGCTTGTCAAACTGTGTTCGATATAATGAATTCTGCTCATTCCATTCACCTGCTTGCTGTCTTCAGATTTGATACCCTTCCAAATGGTACTGACAACTTTCACATGTAAGAGGAGAATGTGTACAATATACAATTTATTCTTACCATAACTTCACAAACATAAATGGAGTGGGAACATGAATTTTGTGATGAAATATAGTACTACACATTTTTAACAATAATTTTCTAGCTGATATTCAAACTGGTAAGTCAGGACTATCACATCTTCAGGTTCTGAATATAAGAGACAGCCACCAAATATGGAATGCTCAATGTACAGCTGAAAAGAGGTTGTCCAGTTTAGGATGTGGGGTAACAACCACTGTCTTTGCACAAATTCTTTGGAATGACCTACACAACAGAAAAAGGATGAGATCTGGGACCTGGAAACTCTACTATCCCTCTAAGACAAGTTCACAGAAACTGGCTGAAAGAGAATTGAGGTATCTTCCCAATTATCAACACCAATGTAGGGGAAAAGTACACTAAGAATTAAAAAAAAATATATATACTCCCAAGATACTGCTGAATACAGATATTCAACAATACTGATCAGACCTTCAGATAATATATGGAAAAAAGTACTGAACATAAAATATAATTCATTTTTCTCTACAACTGTAGTTCACAACATTTTTGCTCTGATAAATATTTAGCGAGATACACTAAAGATACAAGCAGAAACACAGCACATCTTCATACAATGGGGTCATTACACAGTACATCTTCATACAATGGGGTCATTACAATCATCCAATCAAAATTAAAATATCTGTAAAATGCTTCAGTACCCAGTTTCATGAAAATACATCCAGCACTGCTCAAGGTGTTTCACACAGCCAGGGCTGCAAATGGCTTAAAATGGGTGCACAGATAAGCTGCATGGAAGATGATCTGTGCACGGTTACTTGACAATATCCTGCAGTATAGTGCTGTAATCATGTAAGACAGATAAGAAACCTCAACTTGGAAACAATTATGGCGAAACCATGGCACATGCACTGATGATACAAAAGAAATGCTGACAAAAGTTAAATATTGAGACCAACCCTCTGGGATGGACAATGCCCATGATTCAAACATTAATTTCTACTAACTTTCAGAAAATACTTTGAGGTAGTTCACAAATGCAGTAAAAAAGAACAGTACCTTTAATGTGTTAATTTTCAGTATCAATGAAAACCCATGTGTAATTCAGATTTCTCCTGATGGCCAGCACTGTTACAAACTAGTTCATTTACTCAACTAAGTCACTCAATCAATCAGCCGACACACCCGAGAAACCAGCTTCATGTTTTTACTTCGGTTTTGTCTCTTGATCAGTGACGTAACGGATGAACACATTATCTTCTGGCATATTCTCTGGTGGTGCCTCCAGTTCATACATGTAGGAGCATGCAATAGCAAGGACAGTGCCTACACAAAAAAACAATACACCAATTTCATACACAATGCATTAAGTACACTTAAATTTAATTGAGGACTGATATGATGAGTGTCACGCTGCACAAAATAATAATTAAACAATTTCCAGAAAAATGTACAATGCCTCCCCACATTCAAATGTTTTACAGTGCATCATGAGGCTAATAAATACTTTGTGTTAATAACTACAGAATCTGGTGGCTCAACTGTGCATAATCTCCATTTGCACAGACTATAATTATGTTAAATTTGTCCAATATAATTTCAAAATTTTGCAATCACCATGCTTTTAGTTAACATTTAAAAAATGTTTCATGCAGCAATTCAATTTATGGACAAGCTACATGACAATAAATAAGAAATGGAGGGTTATGTGTCCAGTAGCTACTTTGCAGAACTTCATATCCAATACTAAGAGGAAAACTGGAACCAATCCCTGTGAAGAAAACGACATTCTGACGATAAACAGGTTTGGGAATCAGTAACCCTCTACACAGAATGCCTCACACTATTCTTATGTCCTCTGGCCTGTTTCATCTTGTCTTGTGTTTTCATATATATACACATATTTCTGGTCTGTGACATAATGGTATTTTTGGGGCGCTACTCATAGCTTCACAGACACTTAAAACGTATAACAATTCTGTCAATTTCTTATGTTTTCTTATTCAGATTATACATACTTTAATTACTTCTGTATTGTTCCTAAGTCTAGGAAGGTAAATCCAGCCCCACTGATCTTATGAACTTCATTTCAGTTCATATGAACCAACAGTTTCACTCCCCAGTTTTCATAGTTGTAATTCAACATAAGTACTGCCATCACTTAACAAAATTGTTGTCATGTGCTTTGCAATCTTCTGTCTCAGAGCTCCTCTTATTGTTCCACACATCCCCTGGAATTTATTCGATTCATTAATACTGCTAACTTAATTTTCTGACCAAAGGAAGACAACCAACATACCATCATGACTGAAGCAGAGTGACGAGATAGATGCATTATAGCGGTGAAACTGACACAGTCGTTTCTTGTTAAAGCCATCCCATATGTTGACATAACCATCGGAACCACCTGTTGCAAATGTATTATAACCTGTATGGAAACTGAGAAAACAGAAAAGTCATCCCAATTAGGGACATCCTGAAACAATATAAATAAGTACTTTCATGAAGTATGCCATCTTCTGGGATGTGGCACCGTGTTGATCTTGTGTGAACCGACATCTCGGAGGAATGTTGATTCATCTGTCACATCCCAGAAGACGGCATTCTTCATAGTCACCACCATGAAAACCTCAGATTTTCCGACGTTTCAGAGGAATGTCAGTTCACACAAGATCTACACCTGTCACATCCCAAAAGATGGCATTCTTCATAGTCACCACTGTGAAAACCTCAGATCTTAAAAAAATATTTTTGTGTTTAACTTATATTCATATACACTCAACTCTCGATTATCCGGGGGTGGATAAACTGGTTTCCGGCTTAACCGGAGCTTTTTTGAGGCTTATATGTTGTTTAATATTCATTCACTTCTGTTTCACATGGTGAGTTGTAACACTATTTTCGCACTAGTGTGAACCAAACTCTGCATTTTTTGGTCCTGTTATGCTAACGCAATGTTCTAGGGTAGGGGCAAAAGAATGCAAGGATTTGTGGAAAGTTTCAAGGACAGATACACCGCCCCAGTTAAGTTTCTTTGTGTCAATCTTCAAGTGCGTTAGCAAAATGTCAGGGTGTAAAAGGAAGCGTGTTGTGTTAAGTATTCAACAGAAAAAGGAAAATGCCGCAAAAAAGTAAACGACAATATTAAATTTTTTTAAGTGTTAAGTGTGAATATTCGTAAAAAGTGTTGGATGTTGTTGAAGATTGTGATTGAAATAACTAATTCATACTTCAGTGTAAAGTAGAAAAGTATTAAATAGGCCATGAGATGACATAAAAATGAGGTTGAATAAATTTAAATACAGGTAGGACTATAGTATTATGAAGGTACAGTATTACAGTACTACTTTTAATAAAATTTGTCTTAACCGGGTTTTCGATTAATCGTGATTTCCATCCCCACCATTATCACGGATAATCGAGAGTTGAGTGTATTTCCCATTTTCCCACTCATGCATATGAAAATTTCTATTCCATGTTACTAGTAGATCTGTACAGTTCTTACTACATTGACAACAAATGAAACTTGTCAGATTCTCACTCACATAATTTCTGTAGAAATGCACACATGAAAGAAAATTATATTTCTAAGATATAACACCATGCAGTATTGGGAAAGCCAGGCAGTTTTCTTCTGGAACATTAGCTAACTTTCCCTGAATTACAGGCCTTAAAGTCCTGAAGATAGAACCCTTCATAACCACTGCTGAGAGAACCTCACACCCTTTACAAATAAAAATTTATTTTTTATGTTGTGAGGATGGAATATGGAAGGAACTGGTTGCAGGTCATCTTTAATAGTATTCACAGGGTCTGACTTTTAATTTCAGCTACCAGAGTAGCACTCACATTTCCCTTCATTCCATAACTCTGGTATTATGTCATGTGTACTGTAATTTGATATCTGCTCATGAGAAAAGACATTTAATTCTGTAAAAGCTTCCTTCTTCAGTACCCTGCACATATAATAAATACTAACCTTCATTGCAGGACCAAATTTAGAATTTTATTAACAAGGTATTTCATTTGTGTTGCAAAATACTACAGTTTTAAATTTTACACGAACATCTACCTCTAACAAAATGTCTAACTAAATGCCTTGACATAGTATGTGCAGCTGTTCAACAGTGTTTGGGCACAGGATTCCTTGTGAACATTTAGATTATGAAATCACGTAAAATGTATAGAGATGAAATTATTGGAGATCATAAGTGTGGGTTTCAATGTAACAGATCAACTACAAATCAGACATTTTCCATTCGTCAGATATTGGAGAAAAAATGGGAGTACAATGAGACAGTACATCAGCTATTCATAGACTTCAAGAAAGCCTATGATTCAGTTAGGAGGGAAGTATTGCACAATATTCTGATAGAGTTTGGGATACCCATGAAACTAGTTAGGTTGATTAAAATGTGTTTAAACAAAATGTATAGTAAAGTCCATGTAGGTAAACGTTTGTCTGATAAATTTCTTATCCAGAATGATCTAAAACCAGGAGATGCTTTATCACCACTCCTTTTCAACTTTGCTTTAGAATATGCCATTAGAAAGGTCCAGGAAAACCAGATGGGACTGAAAATAAACGGGACACATCAGCTGTTGGTCTATGCCGATAATGTGAATCTGCTGGGTGATAATGTAGATACCATAAAGAAAAACACATAAACTTGAACTGATGCAAGTAAGGAGGTTGGTCTAGAAGTAAACACAGAGAAAACTAAGTATATGTTGCTGTCTTGTCACCAAAATGCAGGAAAAAATCATGATATAACGATAGGAAACAGATGTTTTGAAAATGTGGCACATTTCAGATATTTGGGAACAATGATAACAGATTGGAACCTGATTCAGGAGGAAATTAAGAGGAGATTGAACTCAGGTAATGCTTGCTACCATTCAGTCAAGAACATTCTGTCTTCTCGTCTGCTGTCCAAAAACATAAAATTAGAATATACAAAACTATAATTTTGCCTGTGGTTCTGTATGGATGTAAAACTTGGTCTCTGACATTAAGGGAGGAACACAGACTGAGGGTGTTAGAGAACACAGTGTTGAGGAGAATATTTTGATCGAAGAGAGATGAAGTGACAGGAGGTTGGAGAAAACTGCATAATGAGGAGCTTCATAACCTGTACTCTTCTCCAAGTATAATTAGAATGATCAAGTCAGGGAGGATGAAGTGGGCAGGGTATGTAGCACGAATGGGGGATATGAGGAATGCATATAGGATATTGTTGGGAAAGCCAGAAGGAAAGAGACCAAGGTGTAGGTGGGTGGACAATATTAAAATGGATCTTAGAGAGACAGGATGGGATGGGATGGGTTGGATTGGTCTGGCTCAGGATAGGACCAGCTGAGGGCTCTTGTGAACACGGTAATGAACCTTCGGGTTCCATAAAATGCTGGGAAATTCTTGAGTAGCTGCAGAATTGGTCACTCCTCAAGAAGGGCTCAACTCCATGAGTAAGTAAGTAAGTAATCACATAAAATGACATTCACTTCAACAGGTATGTTACTAATGCATACTTAAAAATACATGAAGCAGACTAATCACCTGATAGCATTCACAGGATATATATTCTCAATGCCACCTTCTTTTATTCTATGGCATTTGAAGGCATATTTCTTCTTCTGGACCTCTGGACTTGTATCCAGGTATTCAACAGCAACTCTGCCTTCAATACTGCTAAGAACATAGCCCTACAAAAACCAACATAAATCTGACACAGTGGCTTTTAAAATGATAAATAATGTATGTACAAAACACTGCGAGCTAACTCATACACACACTTCATTTTATAGCAGCAACTCATCATTTTAAATGTCTCTCAGAATGAAGAATGCCATCTTCAGGGATGTGGTGTTGTGTAAATCTCACGTGAACCAACATTAAACAGGCAAGTATCGCCTCCATCTTCAAGATAGAAAAATCCGCAAGCAAGGAACCAGCGTGAGCAGGTGGCTGCTTGGTTCACACAAGATCTACATTATGCCACATCCCAGAAGGCAGCATTCTTCATAGTCACTGCCACAGAAACCTCAAATCTTACATCTCTCAGAATGTCTGGGAATATAAATGTCACACTTACAAAAGCTGTTAAAGAGCTTTATTTCACCACACACAATTCAACTCTTGACTTTACTATTCTGGATATGGACAAGATATCCCACCTGCACAGGCAGGCTATCAGAGATTATAAATTAACAATTATACAAAGTTACTAACCCATGCCTGTTATAAAATTCCACTCCTTGAAATTTTCTGATATACAATTCAAAACTTTACACCATTACATCATCATAAAGTATGTAATTTTTATATATAAAATCTACAGATATAAATTATGTTTGTATACAGTGGTGTTGCATCATGCAGTATTTTTTTTACAATTTAGCCACTTACAGCTGCATTTAGAACACATCAAAGTCAAATGTGACACCACTTTTACGATGCTGCATTGACTCATGCCAGTACCATGAACTTGAACATGGCAAAATGGGTATCAACTGACGAACATAACAAAAATTGTGACGGTAAACATATTATTACATATTACATCTGTAGATACATTCATGCTCTACCTCCTTACCATCCCTACAAAATTAAACTCCCAATTCAAACAAACACACGACATTTATATATTAAGCCAGATTATCATTAGGCAATATGCCTCAATTTCATCTTAATAAATGAAACCTGTACAGTAATTTTGGGGAAAAGAGAGTCCTTTCATTGTCACCTGTTTGTTGGGGAAACAGCGAATACATCGTGTCTGGTACTTGAGACTTGACTCCCTGCGTTGATGAACATAGCCCATATTGCGAAGGTCCCAAACATATACTTTGCGCCCTGCTGTGCCCACCACAAACTTTTCACCACACAGGCTCATTGTGTACACCTGAAGGACACAAAACACAGTACTTTTTCTTTTTCAAGTATGAAATATAGGTTCTTAATAGTATGCATCCTGTTGTGTTTCATAAACAAGGTACACAAAATGTATACAAAAGTATGCAGTCTATACAATAATATTCTGTATTTAAAACAAAATAGACAACAAGATGCATACTACGTATTAATATTGTAAATGCTAGTCATGCATTATCTACTTTGTTTTAAATACAGAATACTGTGGTGTAGACTGCATACTTCTGTATACATTTTATATACCTTGAGATATATGTTAGTTACTGTTATGATGTGTCACCTTTCATGTTAACAGTTCTTAAATTAACAGATTTATCCTCAACATCACTTTGAAGAAACCTAAAAACCCTTTCATAAAATACATTCCCAAAATTCAATTAACGAAAACCTCAGTATGTCTGATACTACATGTGATGAAATGATACACGAACATGAATTGCAAATTGGTATTAATTTGTGTACTTCACAATTCTGTATTTAAATTACATGTATTGGATATCATGAGTTTGTTCAATTTATCATAAAAACATACCAAAGCAATATTATTTCAATTTATTAAACAGAAATTTCCAACCACTTGATTTTCATAACAAATGAACTGTCTCTACATTAGACCCCTGATAATCCTTGCAGGTAGTTTTGTCTGGTTTATAGAAGACTCACAACATTGCAAAATTAATTCTAAGTTCACTTGATCCATCTGCCTGTACATATCAAACAACCTAAGAATCACTGGAGTTTCATGAAATTTGATACTGGAGAAAACAAACTGACCAGCCATTCCAGTTTTCACTTACATCAGAAAACTTTTAATAGCAACTTTACATCTTTCTAGGTTTCTGCACAAAGTCAACATACTTGTATAATATATTTTTTCAATATATTCTAGGTGTATTTTACATATCTGTATATACTTAATTCCAATACTCATATTTAATTTGAGGCACAATTCTGTATCACAGAGTATAACGTTGCACCAAATATGAATCTATGTATATTAGCAGTTCAATGACCCTAGACGTATTCCTACATCACTGCCTGATGGTGGTCCTATGAGACCAAAACATGTAGTATGAAATAAATATTAAATTGTAAAATACTGATTAATTACAAATCACTTTGTTGTTGTGACGGTTAACCTAGCTATATATGTTGTGCACACATATTCAGTGTAAATTTCTGAACATTTACAATTTCTTCATTAAAACCATCACAACACAACTATACTAAGGTCAGTGTTTACTTTTGCTCTGCTACTAGGCACTGACCATAATATTGTTGTGTTGTGACTGTTTTAATAAAGAAACTGTACATTATAACACAACACGATGCATGAAATGAAAATTCAGAATACTTATTTCATAGAAAAATGTTCCAAACAAGAGTTGTAGAAAAAATTAAATATGCATTTTATGTTCATATTTCTACTGTTTTCAGGACCATTGAGCATATCAGATGCTATGGATACATTTCCAGATTTCTACATTCTTCTATTACCATGGCCTCCTGATCACACTGGAAACCTGGATTATCCTTGATTTACAATTATTTGTTCATTTTCCCCATTCAGTAGCAGGGATAATTGGAAGTATATTATATTTACTTAAAAAATTGAACAGGAAATACAAAACTGTTCAACTCTGAAGTTTAGTCAACATTACAATTTTCTTATACTTAACAACAGTGAATCTCTCACATAAGTTGCACGATGCATGCAACCAATACCTTGTCTGGCTGCGTGTATGTACCAACACACCGTGGACTCCTGGGATCCCACAACTTTGCACTTGCATCCCAGCTTCCTGTCAGTATTCCGTTCACCTCAGAAGAATACTCAACTGCTCGAATTGCATTATCATGTGTACCAACTATAGTTTCTGTAACACAAAAAAAATATGACAAACAAACAAACAAACAACAAACTCCGTGGTTTTAGTCCGCCAGAAAACTATACCATCCGAGCGACCGCCGCTAGTCGGCGAAGTTAGTAACAACTTTAGCAGATAGAGGGTGTCATGTGGTCAGCGCAACAAATTCCCAAGGCCATTAATTTCGGTTTTCTAGACCGGAGCCGCTATTTCCTTGAAATAGCTCCTCAGTTATCCTCATAAGGCTGTGTGGACCCCATTCTCAGAAAATCCGGTAGTGCCGGGAATCGAACCCGGGAATTCTGGATCTGTAGCCAGGAATTCTGGAAACATAAAATTATTGAGCTGTCAGCAGATAACACCATGAAGTGAGCACCATGACAAACTTGTTATCTAATGCCTAGTTTTTGGTGGGGGTGGGGGAAACATCTGTTGTTCGTCAATCATCCAAACTTCAGCAACAGTTTTTTTCCTTAGTGGGGTGGGACTAAGTCCACTTGGTACTGCAACCACTTCTGACCTATTGTACCAGCCCCAGCTGATGGATGAGGGTGATTGTGGAGCAATTGGTGGAATGAAGACTGGCATGGGAAACCAAAGTACTCGGAGTAAACCTGCCCCAGTACCAGTTTGTCCACCAAAAATCCTACATGACCAGACCCAAGCTCAAACCCGGGCTGCCGGAGTGGGAAGCCAGCGACTAACTGCTTGGGCTATGGCACAGCCCTCAGCAACAGTTAGTGGTCCCAATATGGAACCAATTTTCAATTACTGTTTCTTATCCACTCACACGCTGGTTTACATATGAAACCATTTTCATAAAGAGATCTCTAAATTTTATATTTCTTCAATTCTGAGGATTTTATGAGCACGAATGGCTGATCTGTACTGAACTTCCCATAAAATAAAGCTTAATTCGTAGAATTAATAGAGACCTCAGGGACTTCAACTGAATTAATATGCGAACTGAATAATCTGCACAAGAATAACCAAGAGCCTATTGCACCGTCTTTACATTTAATCTTGTTTCTACGAATGAGACCCTTACCAAAAGTCTGTTTCTTGCTTCAATCCTATATTATATTTCCCAAACCATCCGAACAGGTTATCCCACTCCCTAGTCATGCAATCCCTCATCCAATTATTTACTTAACAATATAAGTTCTCTCAGACTGAGGGATTGGCTAGTGTCCATACAGAAACCTGGTATGCATTTCCTGATTTCTCCTGCTATCTGCTCTCATAAGTCTATTGTCATTTCTTACTGTCACTGCAAAGCAGTAGAACTCTGCCACATTCTTAAAAGATTCACCAGCAATTATTTCCTTAGTGATGTCACATTCAGTTTCACTCATCCAAAACTTCTAAAAATAAAAATAAAAAAAAAACCTCCGTGGCCTGTAGTCCTCAAGCAAACTATCCCAACCAAGCAACCACCACTTGTCAATTAAGTTGGTGCCAACTTTTGTGGATAGAGTGTGTCACGTGGTCAGAGCAACGAATCCCCACAGCCATTAATCTCGGGTTTCTAGACCAGAGCCGCTATTTCCTTGAAATAGCTCCTCAATTATCCTCACGAGGCTGAGTGGACTCTGTCCCAGATCCACTACTTCTCAGAAAATCTGGTGGCGCCAGGAATCAAACATGGGACTTCTGGATCTGTAGCCAGGAACTCTGACCACTAGGCCACAGAAGCAGTCCATCCAAAACTCCTACAATACATGGAATAAATATCACCAGGATTACATAGAAAATCGCAAAACAAAACCCTATAACGAAGAACAGAAGAAAATAAACTGGTGCCAATTTAAAGAGTTCTACATTCTGGAATATAATGTTGTTTAGCACACTGGAAGTCAAGTTTGCTGCCTGCTTTATGCTGGTTTCTTGCTTGGTTCACTTTCACCTTGAAACTGCAGGTGACATGTTCCTCTGAAACATCAGTTGACTTTTAATGGCCTACACAGTGTTTCAACCCAGAAGACAGAACTTTTCACAGCCACTACTGTGAGTACCTCAAGCTCTACACACCACTTACTTTTAGCAATTAGCAATATCTATATGGCCTACTTGTGTATCAGTGCCAGGGATAACACACCTGTATTGCTATTGAAATCATACATCTTCAAAGTGTTGTCCAGCCCACCACTGTATGAATGCACAGCATCCTGCAACAAAAGAAAATGAAAATAAGCATTTCATGCAATTTCCATATTTTTCAAATGTGTTCCTTGAAATTCTACAAGCTCCACTAATCTCACTACATATGCCACACTGCATTATCTTGTTATTATATTCTTGATTCATACATTATATTACAGTGATAAAGAGGCCCAAGTCAAACCACTTGCCTCCTCGTGGTGTTCCCCAAAAGCAGAGGACTGGCCTGCCTTGCAAGAGACAAATTGGTGTAGCTCATTAAGGGTGCTGGTGCCCTAAGATAAGTGTGCACTATTGTGCCGAGGTCTGCAGAGCACTGAGGGAGCAGTGTGGTGAATGGTGAGATACAAATATCCCACTGCAAGCTAGCATTTCCCCACATGCATGGCTTTGTGTGGGGTGACAGATCTCCCTGCAGCAACCAAAGTCACTACTCAGGGACTTTACTGGCGGTTCACTGAGAGAGAGGCTTTCTTTTGGTGGGGCAAGCAACCTGACCACTGAGAGGAATTTGATGGGCTAGAAGAGGCAGCCATGAAGAGGAAGGCTCTCCTTAAGGTATTCAGGGATTGAGCAGGTACAGCCAGGACAGTGACTACAGCCCTGCTGAAAATGTTGGCAACTGAGAGAAATAGGCTCAAGTTTTCCCATCACTGGTATCCTGGGAGACAAATTCCATCTACATCAGAGGGACCAGCTGTGTGGTCTCCTACTGCTACAAAGAGGTCTTCTGTATCAGAAGGTTTAGTTACTTTGTCTTCTGCTGCAATGGGAATAGCCAAACCTCTCTGACCCTCTGGTGAGTGGCCCATTGAGGGTAACGCATAAAGATTTCTTGATGGAAATGGGTAAGAACTGGAAGAAGTGGAGTGTACTGAAGATCACTTGGTGCAGGGCGCAGGTATCAGCTGGATTCAATTGTGGTTCTGGTGGAGACCAGTGATGAATGCTCTACTATCCTTGGCCAAAGGGTTCCCACCATCAGTGGACCAGGTTCTGCATTCTGCTCTTCGGCTGCTGTGAACAGGCAGCTAAATTTTCCAAGAGATTATGTTGAGGAATCCAATGGGGATGAGAGTGAAAGAGGTGTCTTCATGGAAACGGCTAAGGCGATGATCAAGAAGAACTAGCCAGGCTAGCAGATGAGATGCGATGGGGGAGGAGAATATCAATCTTGGGGGCCAAGTGTGTCCCACAACTGGTCTATACATTGTGGAGAAGAATGAAAATTATTTGTCCTGCCAGAAGTCAAATCACTGATTCCCAACTGTCCAGCAGGTAGCCTAGTCATTACACTATGTTTGATCATCTGACATCATTTACATTACTGAAGAAACATAGCATGCTGATTCAGGGTAACAAAGAGAATGTGTTCAGTTACAGAACATGGGGCAGAGGACAAAGCAAAACAGAATAACTCCTGTTTTCCATCACTGTACTTGCTGTGACCATCATTCTTCTAATTACATGATGATCTAGAAAATGGGGAGGGGGAGAACACTATAAGTAATACCTGTTACATATTCCATTAATAAAAAGAAGTTATATGATGACTTACATTGCTTACTTTCCTTCAATAACTTGGATCTATACAAAGATGCCAATTAATAATTTTACAATTTAATGAGGAGAGCCAGGATAATGTGGTTGGTATAGTGACTGGCTATGGGCTGGATGAGCGAGGGGTCGCTGTTTGAGTCCTGGTAGGGTCAAGAGTTTTCTCCACGTCATGCAGACTGGCTCTGGGGTCCACCCAACCTCCTATCTAATGGGTACCAGGGTCTCCTTCCCCCAGGGTGTGAAGCTGACCACTCACCTCCAGCTAGTGCTGAGGTCAAGAAAATGTGGATCTATACATCCACTCACTCCCCTATATGCCTTCATGGCATAGTGCTTAATTAGTTAAGAACAGGGACAACTTTACCTTTATTTTACAATTCAGTTATCCACTTTTGCATAATTTGTAACAGCAGGTCCCAGATATATTCAATTTGTTGGATCTAACCATAAAGTTTCACATTCACCACAAGAAAAAAAGTTTCGCACTATGCTGAGCCAGCTATCCAACTGGTACAAGGTGGTAAATCAAGCAGGACATGGAGACAAGTACTCAGTTCCATCTATTATATGATATATACCTCCACTCCCCCACACATTTTCATGGCGTGGTGCTTACTTAAGAACAAGAACAACTGCACTTTTACATTAATTTTCACTAGTCACTCCCACCTCAAAAGTTCGCAGAGCTACCATGTTGGCATATTAATAATATAAAGATGTGTTCACATCTAGGGACATAATGTTAAGACAAAGTTCCATGAAAATCTGCAACTGGTTCAGAATATATGAAATGAGGAGCAGACAAAGGATTACACCATCTTTCCTTAAAAAATCAATAGAGTATACTAAAGTAGGATGCACATATAAATTGTTTTAATGTCATACAAATCACCTCACCTGAAAACAAACATCCAAAACAGGCCTGTCATGTGTATACTTGAGCCTCATATTATTCGTGATTACATCATACAGACGAACAGTACTGTCCCAGGAAGACACAAGTAGAAACTGTGCAGAGTTAGGTCCAAATTTAACAGATGATATGCCATCCTCTGGCGGTGTTTTCAGTTTGAATTCCGTTCTGGATTCAGTCATATCCTAAACAAAGAATTACAACAATTACAAATATCACTAACTTTTCATAAAACAGTATTACAGAGATATTAATCAAGTTAATTCCTTACACTACTCTTTAGCCTTCAAAAGGCAGTAAGTAATGCAAGAGACACAAAAATGTTTTCCTTTATTTCTTGGCAATTTCTTCCACATATTATTTGCTTTATGTGGTTACTGTAAATTGTTATTTAATACTAGGGGAATTTACATTGCAGTTAGCTATGCTGTGATGCAATTGTTATCACTGCATCACTAGTTACAGAACTGTAATATTCTCTTGCATCTCATTATGACCAACAAGATTTTTGCATTCATTCAGAATTTGGATGGCCAACAAGTAATGTGAAATCACAGGACAATTAAAAACCTACATAATCAACTGAACTCTGGGGGAATACAAACTGGTTAAATTCAAAATACGAGTGACATGTATACTGCTGAAGTAACCTGCTCAGTGATACACATGAACTGAGTAGGCATGTTAACATAGGCCTCGCTATTTTAAATTTAAAAAACCGGAGACACCACTATAGAAGTTAACCAAAGTTTGACTTTGAAGATGTATGAAGTATCCCAAGATTTCAAACATGGTTTTGAAAATCCTTCTCCCATTTTTATGCATCTGTGAGTGTGAAACAGGGCTTTCAAGCTTGCTTCAAACAAAAGCTAAAGCCTGGTCTGTGGACTTAGCTGCCCTCACAATATAGTGTAAGTTGGAACAATGTTTTAAAGGTGAGTTTACTATGAATTTCTAACATGCATTTAGGAACTGTTACCCAAACTATTGATAGCGCTAGTACAAATGGAACTTGAGAACTGCTGTAAGTACCTTTTCTTCAAGCCACAACAAGTAACTCATTTTAATTTAACATGAATAACACAATAATGCTTCCCAACAAACATCCCTGAGTCGGGGAATTGAAACAAGGTGTAACAAGAAGTTTATGTATTCCTGTTTGTACAATATAAACATATACGTCAAACGATTTTGTTAACAGCTGTGCTCAATGATAATGACACACGAATTCCTAACCTATATTTAGGTATATACTTAGACCAGTCGATATTATTAGCATCAAATGAATTTGACACATGGTAAATGCACAATGGCAACCAATTCATAAATACCGATCCAGGAAACTGGGCTATTAATTAATCCTGCAATTCAACCAATGTGTGAAAACTAAGTTATTACTTCCTGCTACTGTGTAACTCTGTACCCTCACTTCGAGTAATTTACCGTAACGAAACTATCACATTCGAAAGGTTTATGTTAATATATCGTAATCCAAATATTTAATAGTATTACCTTCCCTCTACAGACAAATCAACCAATTTTGTTTCAAAACCACGAATTACAATGACACACCACAAACGCATCCAAGAAATCGAAATACATTTGTTTATACACTTACTACTTTTCCTACCGCTTACTAAGTTGTAGCTAAAACGGTTAAAATCGTTCAAAAACTTTCACGTGCACCCTCTGTCAACTCAATGTTATTGGTTGACATCGTAACCGTCGGGCAATCACGGACATTTAATGCTGCCATCTATATTCCTGTCAGCCGATTGCTGCAAGTTGTTCGCCGCCGCCACTGCCAATATCTCTGTCGGTTAAAAGGCTCGCTATCATAACACTCTCCTACGCGTGCTATCGCCCTCCCCACGGGCGATAGGAGTAGGAGTAGAACACATTGCCTCAAAATCTATAAATAATTCATCAGCATACATTACAAACATGGTGCGTGTGCTAAATTTTGAGGTTACGTTGAATAAATTTAATGCAGACATAGCCTAAACTCAATTTCTTGGTTGGATCAATGAGTTAACATAGAACTATGATATTCAAAACAAAAGATTTCTAGGGCTATAAATACTGTATGTAATAGAAAAGTATCCCTCATGACTTTTACAGTTCTTCAATTTTTAGTTATATTTAATAGTGCTCCCCTTTTATGGTTATTTACAGTTAGGAAATTGATTTAATGTCATCATTGCTACAGGAATTAAATTATCCCAATCTTAAGAAATGTGACAATAATTAAGCAACACATAATAAAGCCATATCATCGTGAATTAACAAAGATATACCAAACTCCACACCTCCACACATTCTTAAACTTCTTAAAGTGTAGCCAACGTCCACTGTGATGACTGTGATTGGTACCGTACCGACTGGTATAAAACGGCCTAGAGGAGCGACAAGTTTTGCAGGGGAAAAAAGATGGTAGTAGTGATTTGTGCAGATGATGATCGCACATGTTAGCATTCCTGCTATGCTAGTTGCAGCGAGCTGTTGATGGTTCATGTCGTTCGTGTGTTGTCGAGACAGGTCGAGGCGGGAATTATGGTAATTTTTCTCGTTCTTGTGATCGTTGTGATCTTATTGTCGGTGATTGTTTCGTGGAGTTGTAGTGTGTATCTAAGTAATATACAGACACACGGGAGAAACAAATTCACCATGAACCCCAAGTGTTTTATTGTTGTCTATATAAAGAACTGCACCTTCTGATTCGAGAATAATTTAAATATATAGGATATAAAATGCAAAACATCTGTATCAGTCAATCTGACAGCCCTAGTGGGCATACTCCACAACAGTTTCCACGAAAATGGAACTGTAGTATTGACCGACCACTTACAGCTAAAGAATATGATTCATTAATTCATTTAGCTGAACATGCAATATTCATTGATTACAATGACAGTTGTTTCAGCAAAGCTGTGGAATCTATTAAAAATGAACCCTTGATTGGAATTGATGTGAAGGCAACAAATATTGATAACCATTATGAAGTGACACTTCTTAGCATTTCCACACAAACATGTGTATACCAGTTTGACATACTGAAACTTGGAATGGCAGCTTTTGACAATGGATTACGGTCTATTTTTGAAAGTAGTGTACAGAAAGTAATTCATAATAGCCGTCTTTCTTCAGGCTGTTTATATCATAAATACTCAGTCAGGATAGATAATGTTTTTGATACACAAGTGGGTGAACTAATGATAGAGAAGAATGTATGTGGATACTTTCCAAAGTATGTTTGTAGTTTACCAGAGTGCATGCAAATATTTCTGGGAATACCACCAAGAGTAGTGCAGTTTAACAAAGGTGATACGGTAATGTGGATGAAGCGTCCTTTGTCACAAAGCCTGAAGTTTGCAGGAGCACAGGATGCCATCTTTCTGTTGCCCCTACAGGAATCCATAATGGCCAAAATGTTTGTATCTTTAAAGAAAGGTATAAACATTTTCCTCAAAACAGTCAGAGATTCAGAATGTGATGAAGCTGCTCAGCACATAGGAATGAATTATCTCGTTCCACAAGAATTTCTTGAGCTTGACTGTGGAAGCAGTGAGTCATAAGATTATGGTATATTACCTCCACATACTTTAATACTATGATATATTACTTTACATCATATGGTGAAATATGGAGATACAGTTATGGGACAAAAATATGGGGTTATATATTTCACATACACTAGTTTGCAACATATCCCACATCACTGCCAGTTTTTCTGTGGGTTAAAACTGACATCAAATGCATCAAGATAATGATACATCCAAATAATAAATGGCAATGTCACTGAATGGAATAATATCCCATATAATATTTTCTCATGTGTATGTCCGTCTGATGATGAACCTGAATTTACGATACTAGAAACTGAAACATAGAAACAGAATTAATGATATGACAAGGCACAGCCATAAATGTGGCAACTTATTGTGCAACACTGACATGACCATTCTGGACTTCTCTGGCAAGGTGTTCTGCTGGAACAGCTTTATGAAATAGAAACTGCAGTGAAACGATGGCCAGGTGAAAAGGATATGGACTTCTACTGGCAAGGAAAAGAGAAACTTGTTCCACAATATAAGTGTTTTAGTTTCTGTGGAGACCATGTATAAAAGTAGTGGGATGACAGTAGAATTACCTTATATTTTTTATGTCTAGGGTTGCAGGATTGTAATAGAAAACCTCAAAGTATATACCATACGAACTTACAGTTTGACCAGCTGTTGTACTATTTGGATTGACTTAAGAAACAGGTATTGGTCATTAGATACAGAACTATCCTACATGTGGCTGGTTCATAGAAGTCAGTAGCAAGATATTATCAGTCTACATTCAGTAGGAATACTTCAGGTCAGATTGCACTGAGTCAGCAGCTGATCATATATTGTTTCTATGGAAAAGTGAATGCTATTGTCACTTAGAGTGGTGCTCTTTCACAGACAGGTTACAATGGCAGAATCTGTTACTACTACAGTATCATTACAGGATGCTGAAAGACAAGTAGTGTGAGAATGTTGTGAATGTGCATGTTCCAACTGAATAGAAGTAATGATACAAAGGATAACTTTTTTGAGATGAAAAGATATGTTGTAAATAGGTAGAATGCAGAAGCAAGAAAATTATACAGGAAAGTCCTGATTTGCTTATTCAAATGATTATAATACTAAACTTGAATTTCTTCTGAAGAATATTCCTGTTTTTATTATGGATAGCCTCAACAAAGTAATTCCAGATTACTGGCCATAACCCATGAAAGGCTAATGATTATGTTATAGTCGACCCTCAGAAAGTGTCTCCATTTCACTATGCATCCTACTGTTCATCCATTATCAATGTCAGTTACTGAATGATTTCATCAGCTGACAAAGATTCAGTAGATAAATTACAAATAAAAAAATACCTACACCTACTGTTACAATACACAAATATCCATGCCAAAACCAGTGTCTGTGGTGTCATTGCATAAAACACATTGCAGATCTCCAATTCAGGCCTATGCTGGAAATATATATTTTTAATAGAAAAGTTTATGCTGTAGTGATTATTGTCAAGACATCCTTATCACTTTGAATTTCATTCCCCAAACTGTAATAAAATATTATATGGCATTTATATACTGCCTAATGGCTCAGTTGAAGTTGAATTATCAATGTCAAATGTAACTGATACAGATTTAAATTAGAAACCTTGGTGAAATATTTAAGTGTGCTCAAAATAGTAAAAGGATAAAAAAACCTTTATTCTGAATGATTTCAATGAGCACAGTTACATTATTCATAATGCCACACTTCGAAAAATTGATATTATGGCCACACAGCTTCAAAGACAGATGGACTAATTCTGCATTCATGTCTAGAGATGAGTTTTCTTATCTAACTGTGATGACCTGCATAAACTATGTATGTTCCATAGTTAAAAAAATCTTAACTAAGCAAATAGCTCTTGAATGACACAATATTTTTGGAAGTCTTCATGTTTGAGCATTGCCAGAAAATCACATTAGCATGCATTCACTCATGTGCAAACAGCATGAAATGAACAAGTGAGCATATGGCTCAGAGAACTTGAAATTTCGAATCTGTTGCCCAAAAATGCCACAGTTTTAAGAACGAGTGAACATTATGTGTAGAATTGGTCAAACCATCATCACAAACTTGCAACATGATTAGGGAAGCCTATGGGGATAAGGCCATGAGTTAGGCTGTACTGTACATATGGTTTACATGATTCAAGAATGATCAGCAATCATTGAACCTGTACAAGGAAGTACGAATGGTAGCTCACAATGAAACCACTGTCCAAGTTCAAAAGGCTGTCTGGAAGGAACATTAGTGGCATTCTTCACTGTCTGCATGATGCTATACATGCTCTCTTCTTTGGGAGCCTACAAACTCCCTGCACCAGAATGGCCATGCAACAGCTCATCAGTCTCTCTTGGTATGGGCATATCTCACCAAAAATTGCATTGTTCTACTTTCACAACATTTCTGTATTCAGATCTACAATCCTACTGATGACTACCTGTCCCAAAAAATGAAGGCATGCAGATTACAGCCAGCATTAAAGGACTATGATGATACCTGAAGACGTTGTAGGTAAAGGCTGCAGGAGTGCCAGAAGTGATCATATATGTAGTAAAGTAAAGAGAATAAATGATTTCAGATTCTGATGTGGTGTGTTTCCACGTCAAAAACATCTTTGGAAATGCTGCAAGTCTCTCTCCAAGCATGTAACTGAAGACCTCAACCATTTTGATGATTTTCTTCGTATCTGATAAAGATGCATTTTTAATCCAGATCAGTGTTCCTGAGGCAAGTTAAGTGTTCTATACACTTATTTATTCCACAGTATGTGAAGACAAAATACTGTTTTACAATTCACATAACTCTTCCAGTTGATGTTCCCATTTAGTAAATAAATACTGTGTTAAGCATTACTGTTTTTGTTCCTACCTGTTTGTCACATTTAATAAAACAGAACGGAAAAGATACAGAATTCTGGGGTATCACTACACACATGAGAAATATGGATTCTGAATGAGCCATGATACAAACTCAAGATCCATCAGTGACAAATTATTTTATACGCCTGCGTGCATAATTCTTAACTGCAAATGTTCAATGCAGGTGACCATGACCTCTGACTTTAATACCATGTTAACATATTCATTTTACTTTCTCATACACATAGTTTTCAGTGAGAAAATACTGTGACCACAAAAAAATTGATCTTGAGATTTTGATGGACTTGCACAATTTTGGCCCCCAAAATGCAAAAAGTGGTTTTTGGAATGCCATTTATGTACGGATGTTCACCTCATTAGTGCCTGAAGAGTTCGATGGATTTTAAAAGTTTAGCCATCATCAGTCATTGCCCAGTGAATATGAACATTCTAGCTCCAAAAATAGGGGTTTTCTTTAGAACAGCTTCAACAATATATGGAAAGCATCGCCTTAAATAAAACTGCATAGGTGGTGTCTTCAGAAAAATAATGGTTCACATACTAGGGGCCCAAATTCAATTTGTCAATTTGATAAAACTAGCATTACCAGTCACACAGTTTTCATCGTTGTTTGGTATTCAGTAACCAACAGTGGTTCAGCTAAGCAACAGTTGATTTTGTTTTCATGATAATGTAGTCTAGGTCACTGATTATATGATATGAAGTGTGTGCAATGTCCTTGTACCATTGTTTAATGTTGTAAATA